GTAACTCAAACATTTAATGAGAAGCCTTCAAGTGAATGGTGACGAACGTTCAGCATTGTCCTGGGAAATCTTTCTCTGTGGCTATACCCCATTTCTGAGAGTGTGCCAGGTTTGCATGTTATTTTTGCAGCTGGATAGTCACCAGCAATGAGAGAGTGATAGTGCAGGGATGATGAATATTTCAAAGAGTATGAGATACAGTTGAACTGCTTGGTGGTGGCTGGATGTTTCGGCTGCAGAGCAATGTTATTGGGTCCAAAGTTGTGGTATTGTCTGGGACACCCTATGGAATGATGCAGAGAAAGGCTTTTGAGGTTTTGGCTACTTATTAATTTGTAATCCATTCATTTGTGGTTAAAAAATGTGATAATCAATCTCTTTGAAAGAAGAACAACCTAAAAGAACAAAAAGGCATTTGGTGACCCGTGCTTCAGTGCAGAGTGAAAACAGCTGGATTCCAATTATTTGATGTCAAAGAGTTGAATCATAGCATTTTACAGAGGGAAGCCATTGGCCCATCCTACATATCTCTGTGAAAGAGATATTCAGACCAAGTTTCCTTCCCTTGCTTTATCCCTAAACACTTCACTTGCTTATTTACCCATTTTACTTTTATTATCTACAATGGGTACTAATTCTGCAGGTTTTCTCTTAACAGACATAATCATAGTGACTAATTACAGCACAGAAGGAGGCCATTTGGCCCATCATGTTTGCACTGACTCTCCAAATGGACATTATGACAGTACTGCTCTACTGACTTTTCCCTGTAACTTTGCGCATTATTTCTCTTCAAATAATTACCTCTGCCCCCTTGAATGTCTCAACTGGCACTGACTCCCACCAAACTCTCAGGCATGCATTCCATACCTTAGCTACTTGCTATGTGAAAAAGCTTTTTTTCCTCAACTCACGTTCAGTCCTTTTGCAACCCACTTTAAATCTTTGCCCTCTTGTTTTTGATCCTTTGTTGAGTGACAAAAGTGTCTCCCTATCGACTTTATCCAGACTCCTCATGTTTTTGCAAAACTTCAGTCTCATCTCCTCGCCAAAGGTAACAGTCTGAACTTTTCCAATCTATTCATGTAACTTAAATTCCTCATCCCGAGTACGTGCACTAACGTCTCAGAAAGCATTTTCTGTTAATTCTTTTGGTGATGTTCTTAGACTGATGTTGCTATAGTCTCATGGGTCTCTCATGAAAGAAAAACAACCAGTGATGAGTTTAACCCCAGGGTCACCATGCCTCAGACAAGACGTGAGGTTGAGGAGGTACCTCAGCTCGTATAAGAATTGAACCTGCATTGTCGGCATCACTCTGCATTGCAAATCAGCCGTCTAGCCGACTGATCTAACCAAGTCCCATAGTCCCTGTCTCACTAATCAGCAGGAAAGGTTTTCTATATTCATTTTAACCAATGGTCTTCAAAACATGACCATTCCTTTTTGACCTCATATTAAACTTCTTTGGCTTAATGAAAAGAATTTCAGTTCAACTAACCCTTAAAGTTTTTGCAAAATGTTCTGTATCAAGGTGTTACCTTTTCAAAAGATTGGCCAAACTTCTGGATCCCTTGAAGGGAGGGAATGTCACCATTATGACTTTTGTTAAATCAGGAATGCTAGCATCAGAGCCCGTTAGAAGTCATCGTGATCAGGACTGCATTTAGAGGCACAATCATAGGAAGATTCCTTCAGAAGAGTGGGGCCTAGAAAAGGCTGGTTCAATTTTGCCTGAGAGGAGCTAAACCAGTGTAAAATGTCAAAGAACTTGAAGATCCAGTGTAAAGCAAGTTTCCAGACAAATTGCTGGGATGGTGGGACCGTTCTACTAAGAGACTGGGCCTTATTCTCTAGAACAACAACAAAGTTGCTGGAAAAGCTCAGCAGGTTTGGCAGCATCCGGTGACCCTTCCTCAGAACTGATGTGTTCTCTAGAGTTTGGTAGAGGCAATCTCATTCTTTCAAGGATCGACAGGATAGATTAAGTAAGGATGTATTCCCAGATTGGTAAGGTCCCGTATTAGGAGACACAGTTGCAGAATAGGAGGTCAGCTATTTATCTTAGAATCCCTACAGTGTGGAAACAGTCCCTTCAGCCCAACAAGTCCACACCGACCCTTACAGCATCCCACCCAGACCCGTCCCCCTATAACTCACCTAATCTACACATCCCTAGACACTATGGGCATTTGGCATAGCCAATCCACCTAACCTAGGCATCCTCGGACTGTGGGAGGAAACCCACACAGACACGAGGAGAATGTGAAAACTTCCCAGAGACAGTCGCCTGCGAGTGGAATCGAACCCGGGCCCCTGGCCCTGTGAGGCAGCAGTGCTACCACTGTGCCAACGTGCAAAGTACCATAGAATCGCTGCAGTGTGGAAACAGGCCTTTCGGCCCAACAAGTCTGCACCGACCCTCTGAACACCCAAACCCATTCCCCTTTCCTTTCCCTGTAACTCTGCTATTCCCATGGCTAATTTACCTAACTTACACACTCATTGCACACTATGGGTAATTTAGCACGGCCAATCCACCCTGACCTGCACTTCTTCGGACTGTGGGAGGAAGCTGGAGCACCCTGTGGAAACCCATGCAGACACAGGGAGAACGTGCAAACGCCACACAGACAGTTGCCTGAGGATGGAATCAAAGGAATCAGGCCCCAAGCGCTGTGAGGCAGCAGGATTAACTACTGAGCCATGCCAGAAACTATACTGAGCTGAAGAAGAATTTCTTCACTGAGAGCATAGAAACTCTTTGGAATTTTCCACTGCGGAGAGCTTTGGAGGTTGCATCATTGAATGTATTCAAGACAGAGATTGATAGGTTTCTAGATTTTAAAGTCAGCATGGTGAAGGATTTTATACTTATATCCTCTGGTCTGGGATATGGGAATAGTGCAGGAAAATAGTATGGAGGTAGGAGATAAACCATGGTCTGTTAATTGGCAATGTAGGTTCAAGGGGCTGAATGGCCTATTCTTGCTTCTGTTTCCCATATTCTGCAATCTTCAGTATTGTTTAAAAATCACATTGGAAATTGGTCCTGCCTACAAAACTGGACATGCCTATAGACTTTACCATGGCTAAATGCCATTAATCACTTACGGGCATCCCATGGCGAAGATTCTTTATATTAAGTTCTTTTTAGACACACAGAAACATGTTTTAAAAGTTTATTTTAAAGAAAATTAAAACAGATATACGTTACTAAGAAACTACTAAAGTGTACAAAACTTGTAAATGTTTCAGTATAGCTTTTAAATGTTGTTTTACTTGATTTAGAATTGGTTACTTAATATGTGGCGCACCTGACAATCATATTAAAACTTCAAATTTATAATGATCAACCCATTTTCAGCAATAACTATATCAATAAAACTGCACCAGGGTTATCAGTCTTAAATACATCAAACAGTAATTGTTAATGCAAAGAAAGGAAACAATCATGTTTTATTACATTTTATTACACCTCCCGATTGTGCTGGTTCATGGAAGATTTTATGTTTGTTGATTCAAAAAAGAAAGATTTGCATTTATATCACACCTATCATGACCACAGGACATCACAAAACACTTTGCAACCAATTAAGTGCTTTTTGAAGTGTAGTCGCTATTTTAATGTAGGAAACACAGCAGCTAATTTGCACACAGCAAGGTCCCACAAACAGCAATGTGATAATGAACAGATAATCTGTTTACTTTATGTGGATTGAAGGCTAAGTAGTATCTAGCATACCAGAGATAACTCCCTGAAATAATGCCTTGTGATTTTACTCCAAATTAAGGGGCCAAGTGTTGAAATGTTAATAGCGTTTCTCTCCCCACAGATGCTGTCAGTCCTGCTGAGTTTATCCAGTTTTTTACTTGAGACTTGTAAACCCACACGAAAGGGCAAATGGATTTTGAACAAAGAACAAACAATGACACAGCACAGGAACAGGCCCTTTGGCCCTCCAAGCCTGCGCTGACACATTTTGCCCTTCCATATTAAAACTGTCTTCACTTACAGGATCCGTATCCCTCTTAGGAGCAAAAACAGAAGTTGTTGGAAAAGCTCAGCAGGCCTGGCAGCATCTCTGAAGAAAAAAATCAGAGTTAATATTTCAGGTCCGGTGACCGTTCCTCAGAAACGGAAACAGAAGTTGCTGGAAAAGCTCAGCAGGTCTGGCAGCATCTGTGAAGAAAGAAAAATCAGAGTTAACGTTTCAGTTCCAGTGACTCTTCCTCAGAACCATTCTGAGAAAGGGTCACTGGAATACTTTTATTTCGTATCCCTCTATCCCTTCCCATTCATGTATTTGTCCAGGTGTTTCTTGGACGCTGCTATTGTGTCTGCTTCCACCACCTCCTCTGGCAACACATTCCAGGCACTCACCACCCTTTGTGTGAAAAACATGCCTCGCACATCTCTTTTAAACTTCTCCCCTGCACCTTGAATCTGTGTCCCCTAGTAATTGACCCCTCCACCCTGGGAAAAAGCCTCGTACTTTCCCCTCTACCCATGCCATTCACAATCATATAAACTTCTATCAGGTCGCCTCACAACCTCCTGAATTCCAGTGAAAACAAACACAGTCTATCCAACCTTTCTTCATGGCTAAAATCCCCCATACCAGGCAACGTCCTGGTAAAGCTTTTTGTACCCTATCCAAAGCAACCACATCCTTCCAGTAGTGTGGTGACCAGAACTGTACACAGTATTCCAAGAGCAGTCTAACCAAAGTTCTATAAAGTTGATTTTGATTTAACATTTCAACTAAAAGACAGAGCAGTGCTCTGTCAGTACTGCAATGGAGCATCAACCTTAATTTCTGCACTCAAGGATTGGATTGGAATGGAACTTGAATCTACAATTGTGGGAGCTAGTGAATGTAATTAAATAGATATGAAATAAAAAGCTAGGATTGGTAATGGTAAGCATGAGCTACTGAATTACTGATGTCATCATTAATGTCAGGAGGGAGACCTGCCAGCCTTACCCAGTATGACTC